ATATATATATTTAAATACATAAATATATTCCATATGTTTTTTATTCTAAATGGCAACTTACTTTCACCATGATAAAAAGTAGTGACCAATTTTATTAATGACATTAAGCCGTAATTCAGACCAGGAAGGGTTTCTATCATGCGATTCATATTACCCCAATTACGAATCATATTTCTCCCTTGTGGTAATATCACGTAAAAGGTCAAGCAACACGCCACGATCACAAATCTTATATTTAGTCGACGTAAATCAGCAGAGCTTTGTGGATCGGGCCACACGCCTATTAGCCATAAACATCTGCGACTCAGAGCAAACGCGTAATTCAAATCTAAGAAAGCCATATTTAAAAAAACATTGTTAAAAGCAAGATTTTTAAAACAATTTCTATTATTAATTTAATTAAAATGTCACTATTTTAATTATTTTTTATTTTTTTGGGAGTTAAAGAATTGAACTTTCAGTTTACATCAGAAGAAGACAAAGAACGATTTATGCACTAATGTAATTGTCTTTTTACCAAACAATATTTAACTTTGCGATTCAAGAACATTATTATTTGTTTTTACTTTAAACATTGAAAACGAATTTTTTTGCTACACAGTTGCAATTTTTGTGCAAACTTTCATCGAATATAAAGTTCTATGATACGTCTAAAATTTGCTTGCAGCAAGGTATGATTTTTTCGAACTTTGGCAATAAATTATTGAAAGCATTTTTTTATTTAATAAACAATTTTCTGTTATGCAATCGTTATTGTGTAATACGTCACTTTTTTTTGATAATTAAGATATTACATTAATATATTACTGAATAAATGAATAACATTTTACGTATGATGGACAATGCACAGGTATTTTATAAAATTTTTTTAACGTTACTAAAATACGTAAAGTGAAACATAATATAAAACAGCGCAATTACTGTATAATTAGTAAAATAATGAAGTCACAATTTAATTCTTTATGTAAAGAATGACGTGCCCCGTAAAGCAAATTATTTCGTAATTGAAAAATCTTTTATTATTCTATTTTCTTGCTATCTTGCAATTAATAATTTAGTTGTAATTAATTATTATTTGACTGATGTATCACAATATTCAAATTGCAACGAAAACTTTTAATTAATGCACTTATGTAATCGAAAACTTGATTTTAACGTTTTTTGTATATCATAGATATTTCACACAATCTAATTATTAGAATACCACGGTGCAGATTTTTTTGACAATTTTCCGATATGTGTTCTACCTTTGTTAACATTCATTGAAGTTCCCGGAGCGAAAATTATTGCTTGACTGAATCGTCTCTTCACGAGTATAGCAATCCGTCGTGATTTGCGCTTGCTCCGTACACGAAGGGTTTTGCCGTTCTACCATCTGTCAGTACTTTTCTGAACTTTTTTGGTCAAGAATCGATAGTTATGTGACTAAACACGTAATTGTCTTAGGCTAAACTGAATACGAAGTGAATACAACAGCTGCTTTTTTAGAGCAAGTTACTTGCTTGAAGAGAATATTCAATTTACAGTGCCTAACCTTAGTTTCTAGCTGTTGCGAAAAATCTGCGAACAGATATCATTGAAACAAAACAGAATTTTGTGCGAAGACAATAGGTGTGTTGTACAAAATTTTATTTATATGAACGCGGTATTGTACGTTCACAGAGACACAAAAGTCTTTATATTCTCAGAACTAATGTGTTAGATATAGCTTCGATTTTATATTAGCAAAACTCATATGTATAATATTTTAATATCTTTTTTATCTCCAGATTTAAGAAACACGATCGTGTCTTGCGCCAAGTTTACGCGGTACCAAGTTTTTTTGCGGTAAATATATTTTTAGGAACACATGAATCTAAAAAAAATATGAAATATGACTTTTTAAAATAAAATTCAGTCATTTTTAAGCTGTTAAATCTTGATGAAAATTATCACAAATAAAGAATTTTCAATTAAACATTAGAGACAGTTTCGGCTACCATCAATTCGAAAAGTCTACATAAATAAATCGCAAGGAGTACATAAATAAATTATATGCAAGTCTTGATATAAACTTCAAATGCAAATTCACGTGTACAGACCTAGTTGAATTTGCGTTTGTGGTTGAATTTTACATGGAGACTTGCATATAACTTATTTCTGTAGTTCCCGCGATTTATTTATGTAGACTTTGCGAACTGTACACATGATGACCGAAACTGTCTGCACTATAATATGTTTAATTAAAATTTTCGAGCATTGAAACCCGGCTATGGCTCTTTTTGCTTTTTACATTATTGACCATTTGACAAATTTCAAGTTTCTAAATACATTGTTAATTTTTCATTTAAGGTGATTTTGGATGGAATTATATAATTATAATGTTCAAAAAATGTTTCTTATTTTTTTTTGGATTAGTGTTAATAAAATATATATTAAGACAAAATACTTTTACATGTAATTCCTAATGCGTTTCTCTACAGGAAACAATTTTACCATAAATGATTCGTGTTTAAATATTTTTTTATTTACTGCATTAATAACAACAACATTGTTTATTTACTGCATTAATAACAACAACATTGTTTTGTATATGTACAACGATTCTTAAACAATATTAAAATTTGCACCGCATTTTCTGGTATTACGTGAAATATTTCACGTCGTTAATTCAAGTCTCTTTGCGGTGTTTAGTATTGTTTTTTGTACAACCGTCATGCACGCTATCGCCCGCATATTCTATATTTTTGTCAGGTACATTTTCAAAGCTAATATGATATGATTTTAATGTTATATCAGGAAAACTCACGTATAATATTGTCATCTTTCTTATTTTCAGCGTCGAATTACAATATATTATATTTTGCATGTGGAGCAAGTTATTCGAAAAAAATGTGAAGATTATGCAGGTAAATAATATAAAATAATATGAAAACTGAATACATCAAGGAGGTATTAGAAAACAAGATGGAAACAATACAGACGGAAAGTTAAAACAACTTTCATCTAATGCCAAACTTATATTCTTTCTGCAAAATACGATACTCAATCGTTCAAAGTACAAAAATATAAGTACGTATTAAATAAAATTATCATTGCATCACCACATATAAAAAAAAAACATTGCTAATATTTATCTGTTAACGCAGCTAAAACAGTAGTATATTTTGGATGTGTACAACTAGCAACCGAAATAAAATTTCATAGTTCTATAGTTTTTATCCTTTTCGAAGTGATTTAACATCTGAACCATTGCATCAAACTGGATTCTATAAGTGCGTGCAAACGTCATTAATTTAACTACAGTGCCATTTTCGAGTTAAAGAATGTTACGGACATCTCTTTTAGGAGGCAAATTATTTCTGCAAAAAAGACGAAAACGCGAATGTATAGATCAAATCATCGATTCTGTACGAATGTTGTCAGCGCAACGACCGACGAGATAATTTTCTTTTATTTTTACTCGTTACTTTTCCAAAAAACTTTTCATGACATCATCAAACAGAAACTAATAAATAGCTTGCTTTGCTACACAGAAATGTATATTTGTGTAGTAAAAATTGTATTATTCAAATATGGCGCATATGTAAACTTTGTTATATAATTATCTGAAAACGAATAGTAATCAATTATGCAGAATCCTGTACTATTTCCGAAATTATTTTCTTTCTAGCCTTTTATTGTAAGCAATGTAAATAAATATGCTATCAATGTCTTTAGTGTCTAAAAAAGTAAAAATTAAACATTTAATTTAGTTTTCCATACGAACACATACACATTCTCACAATTACAGAAATCGATTTTTTTACAATAATTATAGTAATATTGTTCTCTATATAGATATCTTACTATTTCAAACATCTGCATTGAAAAGACTCCAAATTTTCCAGCTGTTAATTGAAGTGGAGTTTTAGATCGATATACGATGAGCATTAGGTCCTGCGTTTTCCGATAGCAGATCGTACCATTTGCATTCATACACGCCGTCCGCCATACTGGTGCTCTGAAAACAACATTGTGTTCCACATTTTCCTCGTTAATGAACATAAATATTTTACCTCCGTTATAAGTTTTTCACTCGAGTAACAATAATTGTAAAATTGTGTCAACACAACGCTGGTGTAACAAAATAGAAGAACTATTTTGATAATAGGTGTGTCTGAGGCATGGTCTGTTATTATCTAAAAGTAATGTTTTTCAATTATTTCAAATTTTTCCGTTCCATAGTACATTAGTAAATTTTATCGTAAAATTTTAATGTTACGTACTAAAATACTATAATCAAAAAACATCATTACTAATTCTAAGATATTGAGTTGATCAAAAAGTTTCTCCGCATTTTCGCAATAGATTTTTATTGTCATTTCCGATGGAATTTCTAATCAGTCCAATGTGTTCAATTTTTCTACTATAAAACAAGTTATTTTACTGTAACACTTACCGTGTACACCTCAAAACTTTTAAAACACAGCAGAAAAGTAGTGGCCAGCATTTGTAGAAATAACACTCCCCTATAGCAATCGATAACTGTCTTCGCATTTCTTTAAAATTTATATATTATTTATATATTTGTTATACATTACATTATATTTGTTATACATCAATTTTATTAAAATTTTAATTGTGAAATGTATAAAAAATTAATTAATTTTGAAGCCTAATTTTCACACACACAATATTTAAAATTAATTATTCTTAAATTTTTTGTTTTCGTATTTAAAACTAATAACTTCAATCTTTATGCCGATTAAAGATGTATTGTATTTTTTTTAGTGTTTTATCAACAAAAATTCTTATTTATATACTATTATAAATATTTGTTCTGATAAATATGAAACAGATACTTAAATTTATTTTTGAACATTTCAAGCGTAATTTGTTTCACAGATACTTTAATATATGTATGTACATACTTCATGAGATGCTCGTGTCGTATAACAATTGCAGCTAGACCTTCTTTAAATCTCAAAGTTGATATGCTGTTTTTGGCTAGTTCATCAACTTTGTTATTAAGTGTTGTCCGTAAATTTTTTAGTTGAGCACACACGTGCAGCAATAACATCGTAATGAAGCTGTTGACAATACAGTTAATTAGACCTGAGTATACGCCACCAGAAAGTTGGAGAAAAAAAGTAATTTCATAGTTTGGACTCTTCTGAGTGTTGTAAGGATAGCCGAACTGATAGGCGAGAATCCGTTGAGGTTGATGCATGCTTCGTCGTAACTTCAAAGAATGGAACCATACATAAAACACAGCTGAGGACACGTAGAACACGTAGCATCTAAAAGATAAACTTCTTCCGCGTTTTGCAATCTTTAACATTGTATTTCGTTCCCAGTCGCTCGTCCAAGTTATCCAATCATTTGTGACTGATGCCATCAGTGTTTTAAGTGCTTTAAAATTAAATGTAATATATTAGTAAAGTTTGTTTGCTGCAAATATATTTAAAAGATAAATTATCTTTATGTATAAATATTATCTTAAATAACTGTTTACATATAGTTTTAGGCATTTAGACGTCTTACATTTGTTTTATTTACAATAAATGTGTAAATATGTTAATATATATAAATTTAAATGCACACACATATATTCCATATTTTTATTACTTTAAAGTAACAACTTACCTTTGCCATGATACCAGATAGCGACCAAGTTGCATAGTGCCATTAGGCTAAAGTTCACGGAGACGAGGCATTCCACCATGTCCATAATGTTACCCCAAGCTCGAATCATGTTTCTTAATTGTGGTATGATCACGTAAAAGCTCAGAATACACACCACAATCACAAATCTCATATTTGACCGGCGAAAATAACTCAAAGGGATATGCGGATCGGGTCACACGCCTAATATCCTCACAGATTGGCGACTCAGGGCAAACGCGTAATTCAAATCTAACAATTCCGAATTTTGAGAAAAATATTATGGTTAAAAGTAAAGTTTTTTAAAACAGTTTGTATTATTAACGTAATTATAATATCATATTTTCGATTATTTTTTAGTTTTTTGGGAGTTTATAGTTTTAGAGATTTCTGTTTACGCCATTAGATGAAAGAACGATTTATGCGACAATGGAACTGTTTTTTTTAGCGAATTATACCTAACTTTGCCATTGAAAAACATCACTTGTTTTCACTTTACGTCGAAAGTAAATATTTTTTTGCTACCGTACACAGTTTAATGCGACTTTCGTGAAACTTTCGTCGAATATGAAGTTCTATGAAACGTCTATAGTTTGTTTGCTGCAACGTATGATTTTTGCGAACTTTGGTAATAAACGATTGAAAGCAGCCTTTTTTATTCAATAAATAATTTTTTGTTAAGCAATCATTATTATGTGATATTACTTGTTTTTTGATGATTAATATATTACTGAATGAAGGAATAACATTATACATGATGAACAATACACAGAGATTTTAAGTAATTTTTTTGACATTAATAAAGTACGTAAAATGAAACATAAAGTGAAACAGAGCAACTTTTATAAAATTAATTAAATAAGAAGACAATAACGAAGACATAATTTAGATCTTTATGTAAAAAATGACATGCCCCTTAAACCAAATTATTTCGTATTTGAATATTTTTTTATTATTTGTGTTTTCTCGTTATCTTATTGTAATAATTTGGCCATAATTTGTTATTATTTTACCGATGTATCACAGTATTTAAAATATAACACAAATTTTTAATTAACGCACTTATGTAATCAAAAACTTGATTTTAACACTTTTTTTGTATAACATAGATATTTCACACAATCTGATTATTAGAATACCACAGTGTAGATTTTTTGGATAATTTTCCGATATGTGTTGTCCGATATGTGTTCTACCTTTGTTGACATTCATTGAAGTCCCCGGAGCGAAAATTATTGTTTGACTGAATCATCTCTTCACGAGTATAGTAATCCGTCGTGATTTTTTATTATTCCGTACACGAAGGGTTTTGCCGTTCTACCATCTGTCAGTACTTCTCTAAACCTTTTTGGTCAAGAATCGATAGTTATGTGACTAAACACGTAGTCTTTTGAGGCTGAATTAAATACGAAGTGAATACAACAGCTGCTTTTTACTCATAAAGCAAATTACTTCCTTGAATAGAATATTCAATTTACAGTGATTAACTTTAATTTCTAGCTGTTGCGAAAAAACTGCGAAGAGATTCATCATTGAAACATTTATCATTGAAAGATTTATCATTGAAACAAAACAGAATTTGGTGTGAAGACAATAGGTATGTTGTACAACATTTTATTTATATGAACGCGGTATTATACGTTTGTAGAAACATAAAAGTTTTTATATTCTTAGAACTAATGTGCTATAGATGTAACTTCGATTTTATATTGGCAAAACTAATATGTATAATATTTTAATATTTTTTCGATTCCCAGTATTGATTTAAGGAACACGATCGTGTCTTGCTCCAAGTTTACGCGGTACCAAGTTCTTTTGCGGTAAATATATTTTTAAGAACACATGAATCTACGAAAAATATGAAGCACTTTTTAAAATGTACATAAAATTTAGTAATTTTTAAGCTGTTAAATTTTAATGAAACTCATTGTAAACAAAGGATTAAAGCATTTTGATACTTGAAATTTCTACTTTTATATGCTTTCGGCTTTCTTGAAAATTTTTTATTCTTACAGTTCTAAGACTGAAGAAAAAAACAGTTTGTTTTTTTAAATTACGTAATTTTAACACTGGAGGTAGAGAAAAAATTTTGTTTGAGAAATTGTTTGACAAGTGCTAAAAACTATATTTTATCTACAAAATATGTTTTTAAAATTTTCTAACGATTTTTTTTATTGATATGTATGACTTTGATGTTAAATTTACATTTGTACTTGCATATTAGCATTTATAACGCTAAAATCAAAGATAAATGTCATTTTTTTCAAAATGTAACGTTAGTTTTAAAATCATGTAAATTAGTCCAAAAAAATCCTTTGAAAATTTATAACTACGACATTTGTAGGTAAAATGTTGTGGTTTTTTAACACTTGTTTAAAATTTTTCGAGAAAATTTTATTTAATTAATAGAATAAATTACAAGATAATTACGGAAATAACTACGTCTATTAATCAAATAGTTAATAATGTAAAGAGCAAAAAGAGCCGAAACCGGGTTTTAGTGCTCAAAATTTTTAATTAAACATTAGAGACAGTTTCGGCTACCATCAATTTGAAAAGTCCATATAAATAAAGAAGGAGTACATAAATAAATTATACGCAAGTCTTTATGTAAAATTCAAATGCAAATTCATGTGAATAGACATAGTTGAATTTACGGTTGAATTTTACATGGAGACGTGCATATAATTTATTTCTGTAGTTTTCGCGATTTATTTATGTAGACTTTGCGAACTGTACACGTGATGGCCGAAACTATTTGTACTGTAATAATAAATGTTTAATTAAAATTTTTGTGTAAAGAAACTCGACTATGGGTCTTTTTACTCTTTATGTTATTGATCATTTGATAAATTTCATGTTTCTAAATGCATTTTTAATTTTTTATTTATGATAATTTTTGATCGAATTTTAGCTTGAAAATTGTTCGATTTTTAACGTTTAAAAAGTGTTTCCTATTTCTTTTTGGACTAGTGTTAATAAAATATATATAAAAATAAAACAGAGGCGATCTAACGTCAACTGCGTTATATGTGTTAACTGTGTTATATGTGTTATAATTTTTAGGAGAAATTCGGCGATAATGTTTGAAATACATGTAATTACAATAAAATAGGAATTCAAGTAAACACATGTTTTAAAGCATAAAGCATAAAAACGTATCGTTTATTTTGTAGATATTTCTATACATAGATTTCTTACGTTAGTTTATTTTTATCATAAAAATTGATGACATTTGAAAGCTGCTACTGCACGACAAACTGCAATCTTCTTGTTGTGTGTTCTTTTGTTAATTCTTTTTTTTTACTAGTTTAAAAATATTAAAAATTACTTATTTAAAATTCGCTTATTTAAAAATTCAATTATACGTTAACTCGATTGAATTTATTTGTAATAATGCATCACTGGCTATAAGAATTTTAATTCTAGAAATAAATTATAGTTTATAAAATATAGCTATAGCCTGCTATTAATTAGATCAGTGCTCGGAATTAGTTTAGTTTTTCAAGCGATTCTCGAAGTTGACGCCTCCTTTCTTCTAACATTGAATTGAATTTAAAAATTGTTTAGTTAATAAACGTATTTTACGAATTTTCGTAAAAAATAAAGGAATTATATTTCGTCTTCCAATACAGATCCGATGGTAGATACGTGGCCTTTAATGGGATCTCCAAACCCTATATTGTGCATCGTCGCCGCATATTTAATATTCGCATTAAAAGTTGGACCAAAAATAATGAAAAAAATGCCAGCCTACCAACTAAATACAGCTATGATTTTGTACAATGGATTTCAAGTACTCTTCAGTATCTGGCTAACATCTTTGGTAAGTATAATATTGTGGTTCTGCTTAAAATAAAACTGAATGCAAAGGAATCAACTAGAATAATTTGATGTGTAGTAAAAAAATTCATTGATTTCAGTTCTTATATGTTAATATTCGATTATTTTCTTTTCACGGATGTAATGATGTTCACCGTTTACCTTCGTCACAAAGAAAATACATACAAACAGCGGTAAAGCACTTTTTTTTAACTTTTACAATAATTATTTACGATAAATTTGTAACGTTGTGTATCATACTCTCACTGGCACAAAATTCGATCCATATGCTTAAATTCATTTGATCTAATTAGGAGATATTTTTTTGTTTAGCGTAATTTTTTTGGCCAAATTGATCATGATCATTTGGATATTAAACAATGTTAAGTTTATTTCTGTTCACATGATAACCAAGCAGATTCGACTATATATGTTTCTTAAAGAAATAATTTTGCTAAAAATAGATCGAAATTTAATTTGTAAATTTGTAAATTTGTAAATTTGAAATTTAATTTGTAAATTAATAATAACATTAATTTTTTTGCGAAATCAAGCCGTTTTTGTCTTATAGGTCTTTTGATAGAAATTGCTGAACAGGTAGATAAATGTGACATAGAATATTAGGAAGATATACGTTAGAGCCTTTGTCATTCGGCAGTCCAGAGTCAACGTTGCTATTAGATAGCATAATAGCATTCCAAAGTGCGACTGAAATTTGATAAAGAATTTTAATTATTACATCTGAATCATTATATTAGAATAAATCTATGTATAATTGTCATTTCTTCCAATCTTTTTTTATTAAATAAACAAATATTATAAAAATATATTAAGTACACTAATTGAAAAGAATAGCTGAGAATAATAAAATAAAACATTTAAAAGCAATGTCGACATTAAATTCAATTAAGTTATAGAAATGTAATCGCGTATTGAAAAAAATTGACAAGAATTAATTCAATGTCAATTGACAGAAATAAGATTTTAATAATCTATATAAATTATTTTGGCAATATAATGCTTGATAATTACCAGCTGAATACAGGTCATATATTTCTTCCACCAGATGTACTTTTTGTATTTGGAGCCAAGCGCTGCGATGAAAAAATAACTGTACATAAAAATGTGAACGACGGAATTCAAAAAACCTATTAGGGCACCTTGTTCACCAGGAAGCAAATTCAAGAAGCATCACGAAACAAGGACCGTTACTGTGTGGTGATAAACGTGAAGGAAAGTCAGTTGATATTGTTTCTTTCTCAACACCACAAATACCTTCAAAAAGTAGAGAAAGGAATAAACATTAGTAGTTATATCTTTTAATAGATTTTT